GTCATGGACAATTTCAAAGCAGAATAAATACATTGTAATTACATAGTGATTATAAAACGTACATTTTCAGAAAACTATTTAGTCACTTTCTCAACAATATATTTTAGTTTATGGGAAAGGTATTTGGATAATAATGAAATTATGGCAAACTATTTGTTTCTCTATAAAATCTGCGAGAGTTGCACTTTCTTTTCTAAATAAAATCTAACAAAAAAGATATCTGGTCAAACTTTCAAACAATACTATTTGGCCCTCATTTGTTTATAAAGGAATCACACAAAAGATTTTGCTAACTTGTGAAAATAATTTGTTTATTTTCATAGAACATGAAAATAACAGGGTGGACAGTGACATGACAGGGTGGACCCTGGGCATGACAGGGTGGACACGTTGTGAAATGTCATTGAATGGCCTCATAAATGCAAGGAACAATGCAAGAAAATGATGTAAAAAATGCCTTTTCCCATGTAGGGGGAAATTACAAGTTGAACAGACTGTTTTTGATCCACTCTACCTGCATGCAGCCACTGAATAAAGATGCCCAAAATGAGACATTAATGTGGCCTTCTAGCGTTAAACTCTGTACATCATTCTGCACAGTGAAAGTCAAACATTCAACTCCACTTTTAAGTGGAGAACAGTTGATTTGAAAAAACAGAATATGACATAAAGATCACTTGGACGCATCTCCAAACAGTCTCTCCCTTTCTGCAGAGACATGGCTCAGTTCTGCAGTTGCTGTTCCACATACTTCCATGCACACTTCAATCTGTACAGAGCGCTTGTTCAGAGCCTGTGGTTCTGGTATTAGGCAAAGTACCTGCCAGTCATGGTACCAACAGATGTCGTCCCGAAGACTTGGCCATTTGAACTTGTTTATGCCATGGCGTTGCATACACTTAACTTTCACACTGTGCCCTTCTGCATCCATGATGATACCTGGGTATGCTTCATTGTCATAATTAACGACGCACCACTCTCCAATGTGCTTTACCTCAATCATTTCTGGTCTCCTAGGATGATCTGGTGTCTTTCCACATGCTGGGGACTTGTCAGATGAAACAGGAACATTAGCTAGAGTGACCTCTTGAAGGTTAAAACAGGGGCAGTCCAAAACACCTTCCTCCCTTTTACACAGACATGAAATGTCTCTGTATTTCATTTGGCCGGGTGTCAGACTGATAGCTTGGTGGATTCTCATAGTGCCTTTTATGGCAACTATTGCAGGTACCTCAGGCTTTGATTCAATATCCCTCTCTGGGATGAAGAACAGCTCGACAGATGTGTCCAGGCTTTTCAGCTTGTTATACAAGCTCTGGGCATCAGGAATGTCTCCTCCATGGGCTACAATCCGGTCTGCTGACCTCTTGAGGGCCCCACCCACACCGTCTGGGGCCCCCTTCCCATGATTAGCCTCAAAGAAATTCCACGTTATTTCTTTGAAGCCATACTTGTAGGGTTCCGTTGAGAGGTAGAAGAAATTTCCATTTTGTCGATACTGCGTTGCAGGCCCATCGCTGAAAAAATGAAGTGTGCTGACTTGAGGGTGTCGTTCTCTCACTACCTTCAGAACTGGATCAAGGTGGGCCCAGATGGCCACAGGGTCGTGTCTTCTGGAGGGTGATATGGAGCAGAAGGTGTGTGGCGCTTGTTCACCAGTGGTGTAGAGCACTCCAGTGTGCAGACTGGCCTGCTTGTGTGAGCCTCCAAAATTCACAGATTGTATTTCTTCGCTGTACTTACATGAGTAATTTTCGCTAAAATCTATATGCAAGAGGGACTCATTGTGCTTCAGACTCCTCCTGAGCTCCCTGTAGGCATCAAACTGCCATTTAATGTTGAAGACATGGCTCCTAAAATGGAGAAGCCTCTCCTGGAAATCTGTGTTAAACCAATGATCTAACCTGGAGGGCCCTGGCTCATGCTGATTTTCAGGAGTTTCAGCAGGGGAGTTGGGTGGTGTCTCTGACTGTAGCAAAGCACTGGCCCTGTTTCTGGCTCTGGCTTGACTTTTTGCCTCTCTCCATTTCTTTCTTTTTGCCCTCTTCTCTCTCACTGAGCTCATTGACACCCTTCTTCTTTCCAGTCTCTCTGTCTTTTTTCCATTTGACCCTTTCTTTCTCAAGGTACTTTCTTCTTCTGTCTGGGTCAGCATCACGACGTTCCCGATATCTCCTTGCTATATCAGCTCCTTTTGATCTCATTCCTTGAAAAAGACGATTCAAAATGTTCCCTTACACACTTTAATTGGCAGTCCCGGTAAACTAGGCTTGCATTATCAAACTAGGTTTGCTGATACCGATATCGCCAAAAAAATTGTCCATATTGTCCATTCTTACTATGTATAGCATGTACTGTTATAAAATGTGTGTAATAGCTGTTGTAATATGTGTAACATTATCAGTATGTGGCCTAAACTATGCACATGTCCTTCCTGTCATGAACCATGTCCACCCTGTCATGGAAGGCTTGCTGACAGGGTGGACAATGACAGGGTGGACATTTTTGGCTAATGTTAGCATTTAATGAGCACATGGTGGACCTTCACTTAGCAACATACTACAGTTAGCAAGCTGACTGTGTACTGTTTTACAAATATATTTCAAAGTTCTGATAGGTTTTTCTATCAATTGATATTTCACTATGACAGAGTGGACATGTTAAGCTTGACAACATCCAACTACACACATAATATGATGAAAATTATGAAACATTAGTGTAAATACTTACTCTGCAACTAGACACTGCTTCAGCCTTCATTGAAGAAAGACAAAATGCTCGTAGTGATGTCACTGAAAACATCAGTGGGTTTCTTAAAGGGGCAGTTACCCCATAATGACAGGGTGGACAGCAATTTCAGGGACACATGCAAAATGTTCAATATGATTATGAAAATACAATATACATGATCAAAATTACTTGTTTTATCAAATAACTTATTGTGGACAGTAAAACCGTGTAAATTTTTTTTGGATTTAGTATCATTTAACCACTTATTACACACACTGTAGTTAGCAGAGCAGTGTGTGGGACATGCCAAAATCACGTACATCCAATGAAAAAAAATTAATAAAATGAAGGAAACACTTTTTTAGAGACTTATCATTCTACTGATATGTGTGCAAATGTTTGGCCACTTATAATAAGACCTCAGACTTTCATTATTCTGCTACATTTTCATGATGACTGAGTGAGTCTGATGAGGACACCAAAGGCACCTCATAGTGATATTGACTCAGCTATCTCGCTCCATAACCATGTCTCTTCGCAGCAGACCAGGCGCCAGAACGAATCAGTTGGACGGGCCTTTGATTTCCATAGGCGGGCCCGTTTCTTCATGGGACCTCCTATGTGTGCACGCGCTTTCACGTTCAATTTTTTTTATTTATATGGGTGCAATAGTAAAGACCATAGGCAGCTCGTGAGTTTGAAGTTTGCGGAAGCGTACAATTTATCCTACAATTTTTACCGATCTGCATGACAGTTATGATTATTTTTATATGCGGAACCGTTTCATTTCAATAATAACGTTTTCGTTTCTCAAAATCATTGTCACGTGGTTATTCATCAGAGATAGCGTATATATCCATGCAGCAGTAGGCTTATAACTTCCATCGTCAACTAAGTAAAATACATAGGCCTAAAGCCAACCAACAAAAACAGTACAAAATATCTTTATGAAAATGTTATTTCATTCACATTCATCTATCTACTCCGCCTGTCTGCCTCCCTTTCTTTCTATCTGTCTTGACTTGAGCTATTGCTAGTGAAGTTCAACATTGTATCAAATCATCACTGGGTCCAACCTGAAGCAGTAGCTGGCAAACTTGCAACATTGTATCAACCAGCCTATTCCAGCCCTCAAGAGTTTCCTGCGCCAGTGAGCTCAGGACAGAAATCCGTTTTTTATTACATTTCCACTGGCATTCGGTTCCAAACTTCTTCCATTTAAGAATGATGGAGGCCAGTGTGTTCTTGGGGACCTATCAATGCTGCAGAAAATTGTTTTTACCCTTCCCCAGATCTGTGCCTGGACACAATCCTGCCTCGGAGCTCTGCGGACAATTCCTTTGACCTCATGGCTTGGTTTTTGCTCTGACATGCACTGTCAACTGTGGGACCTTATATAGACAGGTGTGTGCCTTTCCAAATCATGTCCAATCAATTGAATTTACCACAGGTGGACTCCAATCAAGTTGTAGAAACATCTCAAAGATTATCAATGGAAACATGATGCACCTGAGCTAAACTTCGAGTCTCATAGCAAAGGGTTTTTAATACATTTGCAAACATTTCTAAAAACCTGTTTTCACTTTGTCATTATGGGGTATTGTGTGTAGATTGATGAGGATTTGTATTTATTTAATCAATTTTAGTATAAGGCTGTAACATAACAAAATGTGGATAAAGTCAAGCGGTCTGAATACTTTCCGAATGCACTGTACATATTTAATCAATTTTGGGTCTCGAAGATGCGCTCTGTTCATTCTCCATATTCTGTCGCTAAGTGCATTTACTGTTGGTGTAATTAAGCATGAAACTGGAGAATGATCCAATATCACTATGTCATGGAATTTTTTAACCCAGTCAATTCTTCAATAGCTTTTCTTACTTTGAGAAACAGTTTTGTAGTCTTTTGTAGTTGGTAATAGTAATCTCTAGGTGTCCTGTAAAATATTTGTAGAGATTAAATTTTTCAGCCTCTTTGGAGGATCCTTGGATTTGCATTTTTATTGCTAGGTCTGTCAATCTTATCGAATGTATGATTTAGGTGCCATGTCATTGACCGTGCCGTCGGGCACCAGATTGCTATAACATATGATGTGGTTAGCTGATACCTAAAATACCTATCCAGGCTTTGCAAAATCTGGCATGCGTCAGAAACGTCTGAGCAGGGGAACACAACCTTTATCAAATTAGGTAATGCCCTGTAGGCGGGGCGCCAGTGAGCTGATTGGAGGACACACGGGAGCAGTGATTGGTTTGTGGACAGGTCAATCATGGTAGCTTTACAGCTCCACAATAACAGACATCTTCCAACCTTTCTTTCAGGTCAGGGAGTGTACAGCACCACTGGAATGAGATATATTACTTTGTTGATCACCTGGCTCATAAATTCACAAGGTACAGTATGTGTTAACTGGATATACCACCACAAGTCCCAAAGAGCACAATTAATATACACTGGTCAAGTCCAGTAAGGATGTATACAGACATGTTATTGAACAAAGTATTTGGACAAAACAGCAACACACAAAGAGATTATGTCAGTCAACTGTGGAAATACCCTCCCTCTATCCCTCTCTCTCGCTAGTCCTCAGCTGCGGATGTCCTTCATTGTATTTTCTACAGAGGGACGGATCCTGATGAAACTAACAGAAGACAGGCAAGACATAATCCCGCAAGCTGTTGTGCCTATGCTTTAACTACTCACAACTAACACAGACAGGATTTACACAATACACCACCTTTAATGACCTGCTCATTTTCTTCATTGGTCAATCTTTTTGTGGAAGGTACTGTGTGCCAATCTTTCTATTGTGGGGTACTGCCCACATGATACACTGACAGTACAAATGGGCTGTATTTTTGTGTGTGTGTGTGTGAGCAGGGAACAGATTCGGGCAGGCCTGGAGGAGCTCCGTATGGTGCACCCTGGGGGAGACACTTTCATGCACAAAGGGTTCCAAAGGGTGAGTAGTGGATTGGAAGCCAGTAGCTGAAGGTAACTGGGCAACAGCTTGACCTCCTACTGCAAAAATTTGAACAATATATTTTTCTGTTCCAATAACCATTCTTATCTCTCTAAATGGGTAAAAGCAGAAGACAAAATGCTGTCTCAATAAATTAGTCTTCTAAAAAGTATTATTCTATCTGCTCCCCCAGGCCAGTGAACAAATCTACTATGCTGGAGACAGTAAGTAGATTATTCTTGTTATTTGCACTTGGAATAAATTATTTGGGTAGAACTCTCATTATGCTCCCAGTCATAAGCAGACACAGATTAAAAGCTACCAGTACAATTCAAACCTATTGCTCCCTATTGATCCCTTTACCAAGAAACTATGGTATCATAAGTGTTAGAATTTAAGAGTTGTTAGATTGAATTATCCAATGATTATCTTCCCCTTCAGTGACAGTTAGACAGTACAGTCTGTACTCTGAGAAGTATTCTGTTCTGCTCTGTTGTCTTGTTCTAACTAAATCTGTCCTGGTCCTTCAGGTTTCCGTACAGCCAGTGTCATCATTGCCTTGACAGATGGCGAACTGAGGGAGAATCAGTTTGATCTGGCAGAGAGAGAGGTGAGAGAAATGTTTATTTTAGACCTACAGTAATGGATGATCTATTGGCAATATCTATCTCTACACTCACAGAGTGGGCAGAGTGCAAATAGTCAGCCACATTCTACAGATTTTTCCAGTCCTGGAAGAGCAGATTCTCATACTCTACTGCCTGTCATCATATGTAATTATTATTATTAGAGTTGCCATTTTCGTTTATCTCTCTACAGCTGGTTACATCAGTTATTTCAGCCTTGTAATTACCGGATATTTCAATCTTGTTTATACATTGGCCGGGGGCCAGTGGTGCAGAACTTCCTAGACTTGATTAAATGTCACCAAGACCCAAGAAGTCATAATTGGCTGTGTAAGAACACTCAAAGCACTACATGTAACCATCAACAATCGATAGAGTGAACTGCAAAAAAAACGTCTACACCATTATAGACAGCAAATGCCTCTGTCTCCAAACGTCAGTCACGACTCAAGACTAAGTACCTGCACAAACCTGCAGTAAGTAAGCCTTGGACAAGTAAGCCTTGTCCGAGCCAGAACGGCCCATAGGGCCAGGAGCCTATCTTTCTGTAGCGTAAGGCAGCTCGATGTACATGTATACACCCCCTGGACAGGATGCTAGTCTGCTGTCGGGCCTTACCCACAATCCATCTCGTTAATGCAGAGTGCTAATCTAACCACAAGGCCACTGAGTTGGTTGCACAAACTGAGAAGGCTGGACAAAAACCCATCTGTCTTGCAAGCCTTCCATAGATGCTTCATAGAATCCATCCTCATCCTTTATGGATACACCTGTCATGACTCTCTCTCCTTGGTGAGGATCAAAGGTGCCAGATCAGCTTGGAAAATTATTTTGTGATGTCATTAAGGATGGTATCAAGAAATAACTGTAACTCGGAAAGTGTACATATTCTATCTATCAAGTTTACATCTAAATGTTGTATAAAATATATGATTAAGTATGAGAGTATTTTGGTGAAGATAGGAATGTGATTTTAGTCTTCTAATGAGATAATAGTTTTTAATATAAACTATGCACAGTGACTAGCCACGCCCTGAGTGACATCAGAGATCGTGTCATCACGATGGAACGCCCCTTTTACACAGAGGGCATAAAAATCCTTGAAAAACAAATCAACATTTAGACCAGGAAGCGTGGAGCTGTGGCTACATGGCTTAAAATGGTTAGACCAGAAAGACCAGCCGACGTGCAGCGGGAGCTGAACGTTACAAATGGTTGCCACTCGAAGACCAGGAAACGTGAGATGGTAGTACATACGTTTGAAATAGTGAAACTCTGAAACTCTCAATCTCTAAATCTCTACACGAGAAGAAGACCACACACTAGACCTTATCATATCAGTCTGCAGCTGTACATGTAAAGTAGTCTAGTACTTTCACTAAAGACACAAGTTGGGAAGGACAATCCCATCTTACACTCCATTAGAAGACAAGCCGAGTATTACCGAAGTGGGATAGGACACTCAAACCCTTTTTGAGAAAGTGGTTCAACAGAGAGATGACGATCAAGGACAGCTACACGTAAATATGCATTGCATTTCTTATCCGAATGAGCGGTGGTTTCCAAATGTAACAACGATAAGTTGAATCTCTGTCTCTCCCTTTCACTCTCTGTTTAATGACCCCTCCTTCCCCTAACCAAGCAGTCATGCTATTGTTAGTCCAGTCAACTAGGGACCTGTTTTCATTGTATTACGTTAGTAATGAATAACCTATACTGTGTGTGTGTGTGTGTTTATGTATTCTGTGTTATTATTTAGTTAATTAGTAAGTAAGTAAATAAATAATTAAGCCAATGTGTGTATTGCTGATTCATCAATAAGGTTAGGGTTCTTGCAGGTTCAAGGATTATGCGACGTTCAGAATGAGACTGATGAGGTAATGATTTAATAAGTGACTGTTATCGAGATAACATACAGTGAGGGAAAAAAGTATTTGTTGATTTTGTACGTTTGCCCACTGACAAAGAAATGATCAGTCTATAATTTTAATGGTAGGTTTATTTGAACAGTGAGAGACAGAATAACAACAACAAAAAATCCAGAAAAACGCATGTCAAAAATGTTATAAATTGATTTGCATTTTAATTAGGGAAATAAGTATTTGACCCCCTTTCAATCAGAAAGATTTCTGGCTCCCAGGTGTCTTTTATACAGGTAACGAGCTGAGATTAGGAGCACACTCTTTAAGGGAGTTACCTGTATAAAAGACACCTGTCCACAGAAGCAATCAATCAATCAGATTCCAAACTCTCCACCATGGCCAAGACCAAAGAGCTCTCCAAGGATGTCAGGGACAAGATTGACCTACACAAGGCTGGAATGGGCTACAAGACCATCGCCAAGCAGCTTGGTGAGAAGGTGACAACAGTTGGTGCGATTATTCGCAAATGGAAGAAACACAAAATACCTGTCAATCTCCCTTGGCCTGGGGCTCCATGCAAGATCTCACCTCGTGGAGTTGCAATGATCATGAGAACGGTGAGGAATCAGCCCAGAACTACACGGGAGGATCTTGTCAATGATCTCAAGGCAGCTGGGACCATAGTCACCAAGAAAACAATTGGTAACACACTACGCCGTGGACTGAAATCCTGCAGCGCCCGCAAGTTCCCCCTGCTCAAGAAAGCACATATACAGGCCCGTCTGAAGTTTGTCAATTAACATCTGAATGATTCAGAGGAGAACTGGGTGAAAGTGTTGTGGTCAGATGAGACCAAAATCGAGCTCTTTGGTATCAACTCAACTCGCCGTGTTTGGAGGAGGAGGAATGCTGCCTATGACCCCAAGAAAACCATCCCCACCGTCAAACATGGAGGTGGAAACATTATGCTTTGGGGGTGTTTTTCTGCTAAGGGGACAGGACAACTTCACCGCATCAAAAGGACGATGGATGGGGCCATGTACCATCAAATCTTGGGTGAGAACCTTCTCCCCTCAGCCAGGGCATTGAAAATGGGTCGTGGATGGGTATTCCAGCATGACAATGACCCAAAACACACGGCCAAGGCAACAAAGGAGTGGCTCAAGAAGAAGCACATTAAGGTCCTGGAGTGGCCTAGCCAGTCTCCAGACCTTAATCCCATAGAAAATTTGTGGAGGGAGCTGAAGGTTCGAGTTGCCAAACGTCAGCCTCGAAACCTTAATGACTTGGAGAAGATCTGCAAAGAGGAGTGGGACAAAATCCCTCCTGAGATGTGTGCAAACCTGGTGGCCAACTACAAGAAACGTCTGATCTCTGTGATTGCCAACAAGGGTTTTGCCACCAAGTACTAAGTAATGTTTTGCAGAGGGGTCAAATATTTATTTCCCTCATTAAAATGCAAATAAATGTATAACATTTTTGACATGCGTTTTTCTGGATTTTTTTGTTGTTATTCTGTCGCTCACTGTTCAAATAAACCTACCATTAAAATGATAGACTGATCATGTCTTTGTCAGTGGGCAAACATACAAAATCAGCAGGGGATCAAATACTTTTTCCCTCACTGTATATATATATATATATATATCTCTTCTAAGAGTTTAATTAGGGAGATGGTAACTAGTTAAACAACTTCTTCCGTGGTGCCCCAAATTCCTGATGAGTTAATTGTTACATGATTAATTTAATCGAGTGACAATTAAACATAGTTAGTTGATTCGATAAATAACAGTCATCACATTAATGCAATTCACATCACGACACACCTTTATACACTGCATTGTATTGGTTTTCTATGTATCTGACACCACAAATGAAGTTCTCTCTACTTTGGTCAATATAGAGTTATAAAAGAGCTATCATGTCTATTTGTGTGTCACTAGGCCGGTCGATCGCGTCAACTGGGCGCCTCTGTCTACTGTGTGGGAGTAAAAGACTTCAATGAAACCCAGGTGAGCCACATGTTTCTGTTGTGAGCAGGGGATTTAGCAGTTGGCTAGTCTCACATTATTGTTATTACACTGTTATTAAATTATAAGTCTCCTCCCTCCCCAGCTTTGGACAATAGCTGACAGTAAGGACCATGTCTTCCCTGTGAATGATGGCTTTGAGGCACTGCAAGGAGTCATTGATTCAGTAAGTAGGGCAACAATGTTAGGGGCTGGTAGAAGGATGCAAACACCTGTTCGCTATTGTAAGGTATAGTTTCAACATGGTTGAAAGTATACCAAGGTATACATACTTTCAACAGATCTAACTCTTAACAGATTTACAGTATGTGCTGCTCACCGCTGTCACCATTAACCACCTTCTCTCTCTCTCTCTCTCTCTCTCTCTCTCTCTCTCTCTCTCTCTCCTCTCTCTCTCTCTCTCTCTCTCTCTCTGAAGATCCTGAAGAGATCATGCATTGAGATATTGGCAGCAGAGCCCTCTAGTATCTGTGCAGGAGGTGAGTGGTGTTTTGGAGTGGGTTTCATAATGGGCTCCAGCTGCATGACACTGTTGCTTGTTTATTGATATGCTGCCGACACGGATCAATCCACTCTGTGTTTCTACTGTGTCTAATGAGACAGCAAGGGGGAAACGGATAGACTTAAATATGTGTTTGACTCTGTGTAAATGAAAAGTGCCAGATGAAGACAAATAGGCACGGTTAAAACGTTACATCCTCTCTGGCTCAGCCTAGCCTGCATTTGACCTGAATATTGTCCGATTTTAGATAATCATGGATCATTATGGATAATTGGGGAGCTTTTGGCCTCAGGAAATAAGGACTTTAAAATTGTATTATCAACTGTAATTCCTCTTTACCAATGCTTATCAAGGTGAACAAATGGCACATTGATGATTCTCAATGTTCTCTCCCTTTCATCCTGCCTTAGAGTCCTTCCAGGTGGTAGTGAAAGGAAATGGTTTCTCACATGCCCGCGAGGTGGGGAAGGTCCTTTGTAGCTTCCGCATCAACGACACTCTCACTTTGAGTAAGTGGAAGTTACGGTACCTACAATTTACCAACCATTAACCCTAATGAATCCCATCAGCATCACCCCTGTTTTTAATGAGCAGGGAACAATCTCTTTAACTTTCACACTAGGTTCTGGGTGCAGGGTAATGAGGGTTAGAAAGAGATCTGTTTCAGCAATGCCACAGTGAGTTCGTTGTTATTGACTGTGTCCTCAGGCTGTGTGAGAAAAAGGCAAAGAGAAAGGATTTCAACCATCCTGAATGAAAGAGCTTAAAGGAATGAGCCTGAAAGAATACTCATTAGCTCAAGCAGGCACCAGTTGGCCAAGCTAGGAAATAACGTTCTGAGAACCGTATGTTTCTTAGAGCTTGGTGAGAGCCTGGTTATCCTATGGTTATTTAGCATACAACCTTCCCACAGCTTTCTGGCAATGGTGCAGGATAGTGGCTTGGCTTTGGAACATTCTCAGCACATTTAGGAATTTAGGATTTTTTTTATTTTCTTGGTAATTGTCACGGATTCAGCCGAGGCTGCTCCTCCTCCTTGCTCGGGCAGGCTTCGGCGTTCGTCGTCACCGGAGTACTAGCTGCTACCGATCTATGTTTCTGTGTTCTACTTGTTTTGTCTTCATTGTACACACCTGGTTCCCATTATGTCTATGATTTGTTCCCTATTTAACCCTCTGGCTCCCACTGTGTTGTGTGCGTGTTTGTTCTATGTTTGGTGTTATCGACTGGTGAGCGGGATTGTCCTCCCTGCGTGGAGTTTATGTTCATTTGTTATTTACGAGTAAAGTATGTTGTCTACTAGCTCTGTGTCCTGCGCCTGACTCCGTCCTACCGCTACACACTGACACCTGACAGTAATTCAGTACTTTACCAGAAGGTTTCCTAAAAGTTGAAACATGGTTACATTTCATTTCAATTTTGGTAATGTTCTAGGAAAGTTTTCCAACTGGTTTGACATTGGGAATGTTCTCATAGTTCAGAGAACGTTAAGAAACAACATTCTTCTGTTGCAACTGTGGCACAAACCTTTTGATGTAAGACCCTCACTGGCAGCAAATTACAAACCAATGGAGTCTGCAGCAGTGCAAAAAACTGATTGAGTTAGAGATGTAATGTGGTTTCTTTGTTCCTTTGCACATCTGCTGTTGGCTGGGTGCCTCTGAGGATCATTGAGGATCAAGCCAGGTAAAAGGCTCTCTGAAGCTTCAAGGGACAGGGTTTATTTCCTGTAGAATTTTGTAATTTCCAATAGATCAGGGACTTGCAATCATATCCTTTTGTCACGCCCTGACCTTAGATATCCCTTTTATTCTCTATTTGGTTAGGTCAGGGTGTGATTTGGGTGGGCATTCTAGTTTTTCTATTTCTTTGTTGGCCGGGAATGGTTCCCAATCAGAGGCAGCTGTCTATCGTTGTCTCTGATTGGGGATCATACTTAGGCAGCCTTTTTCCCACCTTAGTTTGTGGGATCTTGTTTTTGTATGTAAGACCTTTATGTTTGTGTGTATTTTGTCTGTGTTTCATTTAATAAATTAATATGTTCGCCTACCACGCTGCACCTTGGTCCGAGCCTTCAATCAACGAACGGGACACCTTTAATAGGCAATCTTCAGTATAGAGAGCAGTCCGATTCTTACACTGAAGTCTAATTTCACACCCTTTGGGTTGCTAGACATTCGCATTATACGCCCAACCAACAACCCTCCTTTCGTTTTTGCCTTGAGTAACCTGTCTTATGTACTGTAACCAGACCAAATGCAACATATCATACTCATTTGGGTGTCCCGGATTTACATTTACTATGTTACACATAGTCTATGAGACCAGGCTGGCAAGAGGGGGTCTGTCCTCACCCTCTACACACACACACACATACACACACCTCGCATTGCTTCAACTGGTTTAATACTTAAGGCTTCTCAGATGTACAGAGGAAATGTGGATCTCCTGACATTCTCTCAGCCAGGCTACATAAACCACACTCACTCTGAAGGACTTCAGTTTATTTATTTTCCACAAGTAAAGAAGGTCTAGAAAGACAATAAGGGAGGAATTTTCACAATTTGTCTCAATGTATTTCAATTTGAAAGATATTCTTTGAAACACTCTTTTGAAATGATGATCATTTAACTATGATAATTACTTTAATAGTACCGTTTGTAAATTAACTAGCTACAGTACTCTATTTTGTTTGTTTTTATTTCCATGCACCTCTCGCTGGATGCATAGCTATAGGATTTCTAATCAGGGGGATTATCTATATACAGGCGACTTATCTATTGTATACAGTATTAGGTATTCATATATACACATAATACAAAGTGTTCTCTTCTATAATCCCATAGTGAAAAGGCCATTGGTAGTGAGAGACACCTACCTTCTGTGCCCAGCTCCCGTATTGGAGAAGGAAGGGACGTAAGTGACTCTTTAACTCTCACATCCCCACTGCTTTAATTGATGCATGCCAAACCCAACTCATGAAATGCACTCCTTGTTTACATACCCACAATTACATCTCTCTTGCTCTCAAGTCAATACAGTATTTTCTCAGAAAAGCAGCTATCCTTGGTCTCTGGAATGAAAACAGGGATGTGTTGATTAGAGCAAAACAAATAAACAGTGCAGGTAATTATACCCTCTCACCTCACCACTCCCTCCCTCTCACCTCCCCCATCCCTTCTCTCTCACCTCCCCCATCCCCCACTCTCAACTCCCACAGGGAAGCTACCCTCCACGTCAGTATGAACAATGGCCTGAGTTTCATATCTAGCTCCGTCACCATCACCACAGTCAGCTGTGTAAGTACCAACCCTTCTCCACCTCTCTACACAGGAACATCTCTCAACCATGGCTACATGGAGTATTATGTTTCTAATACTATGGTTAATTTTAGTACTTTACTCTTCCGTATCTATTCCAAGGAGGTGATAGAGCTTGTACAGTAAGTACACCCGGTGCTAACCTCATTTCCTCTCTCTGCCTCCCCCAGTCTGATGGGACGTTCTTGGCCATTGCTCTGCTCATTCTGCTGCTCCTGCTGACGCTGGCTCTGCTCTGGTGGTTCTGGCCTCTCTGCTGCACAGTGGTAACCTATCTCTCATTATCACCCTCTCACATTCAAAACCACTTCCTGTACTCCAGCAGAGACTCTGCCATGTATGCATGAGTCAACAGGATATTCATTAACTCCTGTGGAACAGCATATTAGGATTCTGTTTCTTTTTCCATCTTTGCAGATCATCCATGAGCCTCCACCTCCAGTAATGGAGGACAGCTCAGTGAGTAAAGCTTTTTTTCTTATCTACTGTCTCTAGGCCTGTGCCTCCTGTAGAGTTGAAACGCCACTAACATACCATATAATCAGACTCTCTGTGTCTTTTTCTGTCTCCTGTTGTCTGATCTGAAAACAGCCGGCAGCCTCTGCCTCAAAGAGCTATGAGAACCTGTAGAAGCATAATGGGGATTAGACTGAGTTATTGACTCACAGCTGACATTTTCCATTTTGACCCGACAGAAGCAGATGTTTAGTATAGAGGCCAATGATCAGAACAACGTGAGTTGGGTTCTAAATATAGCCGGGCATAGGGAGTGGCACAGAGGGGGTGATGGGAGAAAATACAGAGTCAACACAAAGAGGCATGGTGGGGCTAAATGAGGTTTCACACACTGGCTTAGCTAAAGTTTGTTCTTTAGCTAAATAACTTACAGGGGTCAAAAGAATCAAAGACTCCATCTGCACAAGGTCAGTCAATCAGGCAAGGTCCTGATCTGGCTGCATCAGCACCATTTGTGAGGGGAGATTGGTCTCCTGGCGCTCATGCCAAAGAACTCTGTCTGCATGCGGACAGCCAAACAAAGAAGGTGACTGGACTGCAGCTGTATTGAGAGGGGCAATGTTGCTGGGCTCTCCGGTGTATCCAGCTAGCTGTACTGAGGGCAAGCTCCACTCAATGGTGCTGAATGCAGCCAGGACCAGACTGGGCAGATTGTTTATGATAGTTATTTTGTGTTTTTTTTGTGTCCAGTAAACTGGATAGCGGCCCAGCTCTTTAGCTAGAGAGAGGAGTTTAGTTATGCTACAAGTTTAGTTACAATTATTTTCAGGCTCTCAGACGTGGCTGGAGCTTCTAACAGGGGAACTCCCTGGCCACACCACACAGGGATGCCATGCTACCTATTTCTTTTTGAACTACTGGCATACAGCTCGGACACCCATGCATACCCCACAAGACATGCCACCAGAGGTCTCTTCACAGTCCTCAAGTCCAGAACAGACTGTGGGAGGCGCACAGTACTACATAGAGCCATGACTACATGGAACTCTATTCCACATCAAGTAACTCATGCAAGCAGTAAAATTAGACTTAAAAAACAGATACAAATATACCTTATGGAACAGCGGGGACTGTTTGTGAAGCAACACAAACATAGACACATGAATACAAACACACGATAGCATACACACTATACACACGTACACATGTATTTTGTGTTATAGATATGTGGTAGTACAGTAGGGGCCTGAGGGCACACAGTTAATGTTGTGAAATCTGTTATGAATGTATTGTAATGTTTTTAAAATGTATAACTGCCTTAATGTTGCCAAGGCAGCAGCTAATGGGGATCCATAATAAATACAAATACAAACTTGATCAGGACATCAAGTTTAGCATGACTCCTGCCTTACTTGTTTGGAACAATACCACTGGTATTGTTGACTTGAACTGGCTGAAGGGAGTGGTAGGCATCTGATATTATGAACATTATAGGGCAAGGCTACCATCTGAGGGATCTATTTTTCCTCTTGTAAGGATGAGGACGAGGACGGCTGTCCCAAGAAGAGGTGGCCCACTGTGGATGCCTCATACTACGGTGGCCGAGGTGTGGGTGGCATCAAGAGAATGGAGGTGAGAAAGACATTCACCGACTGTTGTACTCGGACTGGTGTGCCCTTCATCCAACTATGGCTCAGCTCTGGTCATTATATTACCATGCCCCTGGCACTGACTGGCTGTTGTTGCTTGTCCTTGTTCAGGTCCGCTGGGGTGACAAGGGTTCCACTGAGGAGGGGGCCAAACTTGAGAAAGCCAAGAATGCCCGTGTCAAGATGCCAGAGCAGGAGTTTGACATTCCACCAACACGCACTCTTAACAATGGCATGCACAAACCTATCAGTCCCCAGAAGTGGTACTCTCCTATAAAGGTATTGAATCCAGCTAGCATATTTGGTTCCTTGGAAGTTGTGTTATAGGTTATTTGAAGGTAATTAAATAACATTCTGAACATGTTTCAATAAAACGTATAAGAACACTGCTAGCTTAACTGTTTTGAACTCCAAGCACAGATAGGACACATGGAAATTCATTTGCTTAGGCATTTATCATGCAAACACATTTCTTTTTTATTGTGGCACAGCATCAGTGAGATTCAAACCCATGATCTTCTGTTCTCTATCCAAGGAATTAGTCCACTGCGCCACTGGGATGGAGCTAGCATCTCATGTTGTTTTTACTCATACAAAGCTGTTCATTTTAGTCTATTCAAACAGACCCCATTTCATAGGAAACAAGCACTCATTAAGATCAGGTGTGGCCTATTAGTGGGCGCGGCCAACACACCTGAACACGCTTAACAAGATAGAGGTTAGTGAGAGTTTTGTTGACGCTGAGAATGGAATGTATATGTTTTAAAATAACATTATTAGAACGTTCTTTGAATGTTAATGTTTTCTAGAACATTGTTTGTTAATGTTCTCTGAACAATTTGAGAACATTACTTTAAATAGAACTATGAGGAAACCTGTAGGAAACGTTATGCTGAAGTACTGAAATTCCCACCTTGGAAATGTATAGTTCTCTGAACATTATGCATTAGCTGGGTATCCCGCACAATTCCCAGAACATTGTGGGAAGGTTGTATGCAAAATAACCATAGGACAACCACACTCTCTTCAAGCTCTAAGAAACATATGGTTCTCAGAACGTTATGTGCTAGCTGGGTACGCCTGTACTTAGGAGTTCAACATTTCCTTGGTATACCATAAAAAGGTACACTTTCTAGTTGAGTAGGGGAATAACAACAACAAAATTGCAGTACCTTTCAATTAAAATAAATGTCCAATCAAATGCACTTAATTGAAAAAATCTTAAACATTACATGGTTTACCATACAAGGTAGATTTTTAGGGAATTGAGGGAGGCAAAAACAAGAACAAAATTGCAGTACCTTCTACTCACATACAATCATATGCACTCTAAATTCCATGGAAAACATTGTTAGTAAACTTTTACCATTGTGGTCCTCTGTAGCTCAGTTGGTAGAGCATGGCACTTGCAACACCAAGATTGTGAGTTTGATTCCCCCCTCCCCCCAAAAAAGTATGCACACATGACTAAGTCACTTAGCATCTGCTAAATGGCACATATTCATATTATATATACTGTATATATTAGGCATAGGTTATCAAGTGCAAACTATCTACCCATCAGGGTTGGGGTCAATTAGGAAAATTGTGAATTTAATTAAATTCAAACTATGAATTTTAATTGGCCACACCCGACAGGAAGCAGAATTTGAATAAAATATAATTTAATTCAAAGCATTTCAACTGAGATGTGAAACCTGAGTCTCATTCCTTTGACAAATATTTTATCAAAAGGATATGCCACCTATGAATGCAAAGAATACACATACCATTTCAAATACTAGTTTGATTGTAACTCAGACGTCAAACAGTAATTTTTCTTTGTCATGAGATGTTAGATTGTTCCCTTCCATACTACAGTGTCCGATCTAATGCATTCTGGGAAATGTGTTTTTTTCTGATATTTAAAAACATTAAGGGAATTATTAATTATTATAGACAACCCACAACCTGATCTTAGAATATTTCCAGACCACTGTAATTGTTTTAAATTGTTTTAGGAGAATGAGAATGTTTCAACCTTATCCTACCTGGTATAAACATTTTCATGGTGATGTGTAGTATAAATAAGCAATTTAAATTTCATTGAATTTCATTGAATTACATTCTACTTCCTCTAATTCAAATTTAAATTCTGCTTCCTGTGGGGTATGACCAATTCAAATTAAATTAAGATTCAATCATTTAATTAGAATTAAAGAGAAATTCGCAACTCAATTCAGAATTGACTCCAACCCCCATCAAAACCCAGTCTATGATCAAAACAATTCTTAATTAGTTGCAGCCTTCCTGTAGTGTCATTGTTTCCAGGAAGTTTGTTTCATAACGTCTCAGTCAGCTGGATGAGTGGTAATATGAACCAGACATGAACTGAGCTGACCTCAGGAAGATGAGATCTGCAGAGCAGAGGGAAGCTGGTGCTAGTCCCAACACAATACATTCCTTCCCCTTTATCTCTACTTACTCTCCTCACTGACTATTATTATGTCATGGGGCATAGCTTTCGATGGTTAAACAGCACCAGACAGCCAGCCAGACACAGACAGATAGATGTTAGACTGATCAACAGACCTGTATACTGGCATATACAGAATAGAAATAAACCAGAGCGGAGTAAAGCAACTGACAGGCATACAGCCATTCAGGCAGGCAGACAGGAAATATTGTTATTATCATATTGTCATCAACTATGTAACATTCTTCTCTTTAATGTATTGTGCCCATCTTTGTTCAGGGCAAGCTGGATGCTCTGTGGGTGTTTCTGAGGAAAGGCTACGATAGGGTGTCTCTGATGAGACCCTATCCTGGAGACAAGGTAAGACACAAAAATAAACGGCATAGAGAAAGACACATCCAACACTTGCTACTGCACTGTATGGGATGACACGAGGATATGCGGAGTCATGGAAGGCACTTTTAGCAACTCAATAAGAAAGCCAGTGTGTGACTTACCTGTAGGGCAGAGAAGGATAGCTTACAGGGGCTTTTCCTTCAGAGCTCTTCTAGGGGATGATAAGGCCCACTGGCCCAGCACTTCATTATACTGTTATGTAAGAAAAGCATAAAAAAATGCAATCAGATGAAACCGTTTAGGAGGCAGAGACCACACTACCTAATGCCTAGGCCCACTCCGTTGCAAATCCTCAACAGAAACAACTCAAACCCCTGGAAAATTGAGGGAAAGAATAAGATCTGGAGCCAAGACCACAGCCTGAGGAGCAAAGCAGACAGAATGGAAAATAGAGAGGGGGGAGGCTTCAGCACCATCTTTCTTTTTTATTCTCTTTTTGAACTTTTTACTTTTTTTGCAATGGTTCTTCCAGCAGTCTTTTATAACTTTTTTTTCTCCATCAAAACTATTCCACCAGGCAGCTGAGGAGAGTGGGAATTTTGATTAACTCCTTACAAACTCATCACGTTGGCAATTTTGGAAGCCAATTAAAGCCCTAAATTAATTTAAACTGCTTTTGAATGCCTTCAGTGCCCATTTCCTCATTAAATCATCTGCCCCGGCTAAATGCTTTTAAAACATTTCCAGCCAGGCAGTAAATAATACACTAGAAAGGTTGCAGCTGATAGTAATAATAACGGTGCACAGACAGAGCGGCTGTGAGGAAGGCATAATGTATCCTGGCATATACAGGCTGAAGAAGCTGAGGTGCTAATATTGCTCCAACCTGAAGGAATGTGTTCAAATCTGCTGAAGCCATTAAGGACAGATGACTAGTCACTACCCACATCCCCACCTTCCCGTAACTCAAGCCTAGCTGGGAGTTTTGTTTTTATATGGTCTCAATGACAGCTGTGGATAGCAGGACGGGGCAAACCATCCACACAATTCCCTCTCTTCCCATCTTTCAAAAGCTGTTGCTACCTCAGTAAATCTCCTTGTTGTTTTGACTGAATTGGACATTTATAGCCAAGCAGAAGACAAGATGGAGTCAGCATAATATACAGAAAGGAAAACAATGATAATGAGAGATTGGTCAAAGATTCATCCACCCAGGACTCATCCATTAATATACATCGTCAGTCACAGGCTTCATTAGGACATGTGTTGATGATAATGTATCCACGAAAACAATCTGTACATACCCCAACCAAAAACCCTGGATGAATGGAGATATCCGTACCATGCTGAGAGCCCGTACTGCAGCATTCAATGGCAGCATAACGAACCCTGATGACTCAGTGGTGTGCGACATGTACAAGGCAAGCAGGTACGAGCTCCGCAAATCCATTAGGGACGCAAAAAGTTAACACAGACTCAAACTTCAATTGATGTTTGACAACTCAGACTCGTGACACAGGTGGCAAGGACTACGACTATCACAGACTACAAAGGCAAATCCAGCTGTGTGGTGCCCACCGAAGCCTCCCTCCCAGACGAGCTTAACACATTCTATGCTTGCTTATAGGGAGGAGGTAAGTGAACTGTCATTGTGGTATTGTGGTGCCAGGACAACAACCTCTCCCTCAACGCCACCAAAAGAAAGGAGTTGATTGTTGACTTCAGGAAGCAGAGGATGGAACACGCCCCGATCCACATCAATGGGACTGCAGTAGAGAGTCAGTAGTTAAGTTCCTCGGCATCCACATCACAGAGGACTTGACATGAACCAACAACACTACCACTCGTCAAGAGGGCACAACAGTGCATCTTCTTCCTAAGGCGGCTGAAGAAATTCGGCATGCCACCCTGGGTCCTCTCCAAATACTACCGCTGCACCATCGAGAGTGTCCTGACCAGTTGCATAACGGTCTGGTACGGGAATTGCGCCGTCCACGACTGCAAGGCCCTCCAGTTGGTGGTGAAGATGGCCCAGTACATCACTGGTACGGGGCTCCCACCCATCCAGGACATCTACTTGAAACGGTGCCTGAGGAAGGCCCGCAGCATGATCAAGGACCCCACACACCCCAGCCATGAGCTGTTCACTCCCTTACCATCATGCAAATGGTTTTGGAGCATGAGGTCAGATACCAACAGCCTCAGAGACAGTTTCTATCTACAAGCCATCAGACTGCTGATCACTTCAACTGTACTGACCACCTGCACTGACTCTCCGCACCTTCACACACACACACACTGATATACACTCATTCACACACACACACACACACAGATATACACTCATTCACACACACGCACATCACAACTGCTGCTATCATACTCTTATTGTCAGCGTCTGGGTAAAGTGGGGAAACGGAATCAGGCGCAGGACACAGAACTGAGAGATAAATGGCTTTACTAGACTCAAAGTAAACCATAGCAAACCCTCCACGCAGGGAAGAGCAAAACAACAGCTCAACAGACGACGTAACAAAGAACAATCACGCACACACCCAGGAGGGAAAACAGAGGTAATATAGGGAAACTAATAAGCCTAATGAGTAACAGGTGTGAAAAATAAAGACAGAACTAGTGAGACACAGAAATATCGATCGGTGGCAGCTAGTACTCCGGTGACGACGACCGCCGAAGCCTGCCCGAGCGAGGAGGAGGGGCAGCCTCGGCCGTATCCGTGACACTTATTCTCATTGCTAAATACTGCACAATTTAAACACTTGCCCCCCAATCCCCCCTTCCCCAAAACACATGTAAATATTGGACTATAAATTGTGCCTTCCTGTATTATACTTATGCTAAAAACTGTCTTCTATTCTACTGAGCCATCTACTTTATATTCGTATTCTTATATTTTATTATTTCTTATTGTTGAGAAGGAACCTGTGTACATATGACTAATAAAACTTGAAACTATTCCCTTACAGACCCTTCTCTAAGATCTATAAATCCACTTTGCATGAAAAAGTTATGTAATAATTATGAAATAGTTCAATACTGTATACACCAATGTATCAGTAAATCACTGGGCCCAGTTTTTCAAAACTTTTAATCTGGATCAGAGTATCTGGATTCTGTAATACAATTTTTCTTGCAATCCAGGATCATATCGATCTGGCTGTTTTTGAGCCATTTTTTGTTGTTGTTGAAAATAATCGGATAGGATAATTCTGATGCAGATACCACAATATCAAGATCACATAATCTGGATTTTCGGTGCTTTGAACAGGCCTACGCCTTGCCATCTACTGGACATATTAAGTTGGATTACCATTTTTGAAAAACCCAATTCGAACATTTAACCCAATCCGATTTCTGAAATTCGATCAGATAACTTTTGAAAAGTTAGGGAATCCAATCTGACCTTCAATCAGGATTAAATATAGTTTATGCATTTTTCAAAGGTGATTAGGATCGTTTTGATGCCGAAAATCAGGATTATCTTGATCCCATGGGAAGGGTGGATTCAGTAAGGTGAGAGCCTCTACAATCAATAAATGTCAATGTAACTAAGGTGACAAGGTTTAAAAATGTTCGTACATCTGAAAACCAAAGGTTCATTATGTTAAACTGACCGCAGTATACGTATGTGCTCAGTTGTTATATTGAGAAGTGTCAAATACATGTGTACTTACTTATAAGTGATATGCAGGCTCTATTATTTGTAATCTAGGTACCTTTATTCTTGTGACTGAACAAAAATATAAAATGTCATGAGCTGAAATAAAAGATTACAGACATTTTCCATACGCACAAAAAGTGTATTTCTCTCAAATTTTGTGCACAAATTTGTTTACATCCCTGTCAGTGAGTATTTCTCCTTTGCCAAGATAATCCATCCACCTACAGGTGTGGCATATCAAGAAGCTGATTAAACAGATAGCTGGAAAGGTGGCATCCTATGACGGTGCCACGTTGAAAGTCACTGAGCTCTTCAGTATGGGCCATTCTACTGCCAATGTTTGTCTATTGAGATTGCATGACTGTGTTCTTGATTTTATACACCTGTCAGCAACGGGTGTGGCTGAATTAGCCAAATCCACTAATTTGAAGGGTTGTCCACAGTGTACTGCAGTAAATTTAACATAATGAAGCTTTGGTTTTCAGATTTAAAAAAGTTTTTTTAAGCCTCCCCACTTTAGTTACAATTGAAATTTCTCGGTTGTAGTGCCTTTCACCTTTCTAAATCCACCCTCCCAGTGGGATGAAGATGATCCTGATTTCCTGCATCAAAACTATACTAATCACTGCCTTTGAATTTTGAAAAATGCAAATACAACATTTAATCCTGATTCAAGGGCAGATTGGATTACTGAATCCTTATCCAGAAGTTCAGAATCTCATTTTTCAGTTTTGAAATACCAAATTCTAACATTTAATCCAATCTGATTGCTAAAATCTGATCTAAAAAGTTTTTAAAAACTGGGCCCTGATGACTGCCTCTGATTTCTCTCGTCCCTGTTTTATCCCTCTCTCCTCTTACAGGGCAGGTGCATTAGCTTCACCCGGGTGGAATCCTACTCTACTCCTCATTATCCAATCTCCCACTGCCCGTCCACACCCATCTACAGTCTGCCTCACACCTACAGTCACGCTTCCTCACATGGCACCCTCTCCCAAATGCCCCCCTCTCCCACCTCCACTCTTCCACCCCTGCCATCCACTCCCCCTCCATCCTGCATCACCCCTCCCCCTTACACCCCCCCTCCAAACCAAGCTCTGCCCCAAACTTCTGTAAGTCCTCCTCCACCTGTTGCTCCACCCACCCCTTCACCCCTTTTCTCTCCCACCCCTCCACCCCTTTGCCCTGCCACACCCCCTTCCCCAACTGGCTCTCTGCCCCCACCCCCCCAGGCCTCACCCCCATGCAGAGCCCCTCCCCCTTCCCGCCCTCCCCCACACCCATCTGACCAATTCCTGTGAGGAAAAAGAACGAAGGGGTAAGGCCAATGCATCTGTCAAAGAACTGAGCAGCATGGACCCTGAGGACCCCTGAAAATGTCCCCAATACCTTGCCTTTCTCTGCTCCACCAATCCAAACCACTATCAACAGATAGACAAGTAGAACAGCAAGCCCAGCTTTACTTCACTCAAAGGTTCAGAGAGAAGCTGAGCAATTGATCTGTAAAACAAAGTTCCATTAGATTTTCCATGTTCTCTATTCTAACTGATCAGGAAGTTTGGTATTCTTTTTTTACTGTAAGACTTCCATATAGCTATCTACAGGTAGTGAAATACTTTTGAGTATGGCTCATGAGATACAGTGAAGATAATGCCAACACTTTACTGCTTTGCTTAATCAATAGAAGCAGAATATTGCCATCTTTAGCAGAAGGGATAAACATACAGTATTTAATAAGTTAAAGGATCAATGGCTCAGCTTTTAACTCTGGCTTTATGTGTTATATAGGTACATCTTACATGCTGATTGATAGAAACATATGTGTATTATGAATGAATGCATTTTTTATAAATCAATCAATAAGTATATTGCAAGGAATGACAAACATGTCAGACACATTGGCAATGAGGAAAACCTCTGACTGGGGAAGAACGGATGACTTCATTTGCTTGTTTACACAGAGATCATGCTAAGAGTTCTTAAAGCCAAAGGGATGAAAAGCATGTCCTGTGGAGTGTTAAATGCACAATATGTGATTTCAACAGCCAGATCCTGCTACTTGAGCTGATAGATGGAACTGATTGATATTTTGAACCTTTACATTGTTTACAAAAAAAGACTAAGCTCATAAGGAATTATTGTCATATATGTCATTAATTAAAATTACCATTGGAAATCGGCAAATCTGACAGATTATGCCTTTAAAATCAGCATGGCTGACCTACCATTGGCCAATCAGGGACCAGCCAGGGCACACTGACCTTTTGACCTGACCTTTGGCTGTTGTTATATGGGGAATTTTGATGGTGTCACCATTGTTGTGCCGCCATTCCTACAGCAGTACCAGGAATGAGGATCTCTGTGCATCCACTAGTGTCTAATTCCATTTCCAATCCAGATAAGTGTGTATTGAATATGTGCTTACTGAGTATTTTCAACTAATGTATAGAATGTACAGAATGTATCCAAAACCAGTGAGGCCTTTTTTCAGATTCTAATAAAATATTGAATTTCAGAATAAAGATGTCCTGTTATGTAATTAATTATAATTTTTGCTGAAAAGCTTCATCTATATTCTAGAACTAACCAAAAGTACATGATCTGGTGTCTTAGCTGATTAACAGTCACTACATACTGTATGAGAGAGAGCAGAGTAGACAGATAAAGGTCTGAAGATTCCCAGATGACATTGGAAAAGTAAGGACGCTGAAGGCTATTTCATGCCGAGTCCTTAACTTCAAACAGAATGCCTCAGAGGAAATGGCTGAATATGAATAATGCACTGAGAAGTCTGTACAGGGTTTGAGGTGAGATGTCCATTGGAGAGTGATAAATCAGGAAATAGAGTAATCCTTCTACCCCCCCCCCCCCCCCCCCCCCCCCCCAAAAAAATAATAATAATAATTGTAAAGTGGTTATCCCACTGGCTATAAGGTGAATGCACCTATTTGTAAGTCGCTCTGGATAAGAGCGTCTGCTAAATGACGTAAATGTAAATGTAAATAGCCCCTGTACAATGAGCTTTGTGTTTTTGTAATATCATTATAGATTGACTGTAATGCCCAGGGGCGTTTCAGCATGTTGTGCCCTCTCACGTTATCTCCTGCTGCTTTCTCAGTTCATCTGCCCTGGCCCATATAGAAACGGTACTGTACTGAACGACCAGTTGAAAAACTGTGTGATTATGGTGGCCCAGAGGGATAATGTGTATGGTATGTGCTGCACGAGTTTTGCAATTTCAAATGGTCACATCCACACTGATCAGGCCACACTTCGCCATAGCCACCAAACAGGAGCAAACATACCTCAAAGGTTGTTGAAGAATGGTCAGCACCATTTTGAAATGTTTGAAAGTGGTTTTCCTTTAACTTTTTATTGTAGCTTTGCTCCTTTCATATTTATTTGGATCCTGACAAACTCCCCAGTCCCTGCCGATGACAAGCATACCCATAGCATGATGCTGCCTCCACAATATTTGAAAATAGAGAGGGTTTCTCTTTGTGTTTTGTTGTATTTGATTTTACCCAAACCTGTAGCTTTTAATTTAGGCCAAAAAGTTTGTCTTTGCCGTGTTGTCTTGCACTCAACGGCATTGTTGCAAACAGAATGGATCATTTGGAGTGGAATTTTTAACACAGGCTTCCTTCTTTTCACTTTGTCATACAGGCCAGTAATGTGGAATGAATGCAATGTTGTTGATCCCTTTATATTTAAGTATTGTGGTGGCAGCATCATGTTATGGGTGTGCTTGCCACTGGTAGGGACTGAGGAGTGTGTTAAAATCAAAATAAATATGAAAGGAGAACAAAGGCCAGGTAAAAAGTTAAAGGAAAACCCGCCTCTTCTGAAAACCTAACCCTGGGATAGAGTTTTATTTTTCAGCGTGGCAATTACACAAATTTGAATGCAAAAGACTCACCAGAATGGCTTTCCAAGGGGTGTTGAGTGTTCCTGAATGGTCCATTCTCAGTCCTGACTGAGCTTAAAAAATCAGAGACAAGGTTTGAATATTGCTGTCCATCAATGATTCCCAACCAAATTTACTGAGCTTAAGCAATTTTGACCCAAAAAAAATTCATATACAGTATGTTACCCCAAGAGTTGTACAAGGTTGGTAGAATCTTATTCTAAATGTTTCACAGCTGTAATGGCTGCCAAAGGTGCTTCCACCAAGTATTAACTCTCGGGTGTGAAGACATACACAATCGATACATCCTCATTTTTTATATGTTATTAATTTGGAAAAAATTCTATAATTATTTCCGCAAGGTTATGTAGATCAATAGAAAAAAAATCTAATTTAATCCCTTTTCTGATTACATTTTGAGGCAGCAAAATGTGAAGACTGTGCAAGGGGTGTGTAGACTTTCATTAGCGACTGTACTGTATATCCTTAATACCTCTGCATATACTGACCATCTGCCAAGACCCGGTGCAGTGTTCCTGCCGGCACAGAGACGATACACCTGCTCTATAAGATTCATGCCCAGAGCTACCTATGCTTAGAACACTTCGCTTGAGTTGGCCACCGTTAACTCCTTAAGGCTTAATAGAAAATGCTTATCCACATTTTTACCAGACATGCCACTATGTAAATCTTATGCCCTAACATTTAATCCATATTGCTTGAAAACATTTCTATATTGAAAAGTATGTAAAATAAAAAACATGTTTTATTCATGGTCACATTTGTGACCGTTTGGAAGCTACAATGCTCTGCCAACAATAAAATGAACAGACATTTACCCCTATTCCTTATCCCCAACATTTATATACCTCAGCCCACATACTCGCACACCTACAGTGGGGAAAAAAGTATTTAGTCAGCCACCAATTGTTCAAGTTCTCCCACTTAAAAAGATGAGAGAGGCCTGTAATTTTCATCATAGGTACACGTCAACTATGACAGACAAATTGAGATTTTTTCTCTCCAGAAAATCACATTGCAGGATTTTTAATGAATTTATTTGCAAATTATGATGGAAAATAAGTATTTGGTCACCTACAAACAAGCAAGATTTCTGGCTCTCACAGACCTGTAACTTCTTCTTTAAGAGGCTCCTCTGTCCTCCACTCGTTACCTGTATTAATGGCACCTGTTTGAACTTGTTATCAGTATAAAAGACACCTGTCCACAACCTCAAACAGTCACACTCCAAACTCCACTATGTTCAAGACCAAAGAGCTGTCAAAGGACACAAGAAACAAAATTGTAGACCTGCACCAGGCTGGGAAGATTGAATCTGCAATAGGTAAGCAGCTTGGTTTGAAGAAATCAACTGTGGGAGCAATTATTAGGAAATGGAAGACATACAAAACCATTGATAATCTCCCTCGATCTGGGGCTCCACGCAAGATCTCACCCCGTGGGGTCAAAATGATCACAAGAACGGTGAGCAAAAATCCCAGAACCACACGGGGGGACCTAGTGAATGACCTGCAGAGAGCTGGGACCAAAGTAACAAAGCCTACCATCAGTAACACACTACGCCGCCAGGGACTCAAATCCTGCAGTGCCAGACATGTCCCCCTGCTTAAGCCAGTACATGTCCAGGCCTGTCTGAAGTTTGCTAGAGTGCATTTGGATGATCCAGAAGAGGATTGGGAGAATGTCATATGGTCAGATGAAACCAAAATAGAACTTTTTGGTAAAAACTCAACTCGTCGTGTTTGGAGGACAAAGAATGCTGAGTTGCATCCAAAGAACACCATACCTACTGTGAAGCATGGGGGTGGAAACATCATGCTTTGGGGCTGTTTTTCTGCGAAGGGACCAGGACGACTGATCCGTGTAAAGGAAAGAATGAATAGGGCCATGTATCGTGAGATTTTGAGTGAAAACCTCCTTCCATCAGCAAGGGCATTGAAGATGAAACGTGGCTGGGTCTTTCAGCATGACAATGATCCCAAACACACCGCCCGGGCAACGAAGGAGTGGCTTCGTAAGAAGCATTTCAAGGTCCTGGAGTGGCCTAGCCAGTCTCCAAATCTCAACCCCATAGAAAATCTTTGGAGGTAGTTGAAAGTCCGTGTTGCCCAGCGACAGCCCCAAAACATCACTGCTCTAGAGGAGATCTGCATGGAGGAATGGGCCAAAATACCAGCAACAGTGTGTGAAAACCTTGTGAAGACTTACAGAAAACGTTTGACATGTGTCATTGCCAACAAAGGGTATATAACAAAGTATTGAGAAACTTTTGTTATTGACCAAATACTTATTTTCCAGCATAATTTGCAAATAAATTCATTAAAATCCTACAATGTGATTTTCTGGAGAAAAAAAATCTCATTTTGTCTGTCA